GTATAATTGTTGGGTCCTATTCTAGACCTTACAGTAGTGTAAATTGTTGGTCCTATTCTGGACTTAGTTAAAATTCTGGACTTAGTGTAAATTAGTGAAAAATTGTTGGTCCTATTCTGGACTTGTGTAAATTGTTGGTCCTATTTTGACTTACAGTAGTTTAAATTGTTCAGTCCTATTCTGGACTTAGTTGAAATTCTGGACTTAGTGTAAATTGTTCAGTCCTATTCTGGACTTAGTTGAAATTCTGGACTTAGTTTAAATTGTTCAGTCCTATTCTAGACTTAGTGTAAATTGTTCAGTCCTATTCTGGACTTAGTTGAAATTCTGGACTTAGTTTAAATTGTTCAGTCCTATTCTGGACTTAGTTGAAATTCTGGACTTAGTGTAAATTGTTCAGTCCTATTCTGGACTTAGTGTAAATTGTTCAGTCCTATTCTGGACTTAGTTGAAATTCTGGACTTAGTTTAAATTGTTCAGTCCTATTCTGGACTTAGTTGAAATTCTGGACTTAGTTTAAATTGTTCAGTCCTATTCTGGACTTAGTTGAAATTCTGGACTTAGTGTAAATTGTTCAGTCCTATTCTGGACTTAGTTGAAATTCTGGACTTAGTGTAAATTGTTCAGTCCTATTCTGGATTTAGTGTAAATTGTTCAGTCCTATTCTGGACTTAGTTGAAATTCTGGACTTAGTTTAAATTGTTCAGTCCTATTCTGGACTTAGTTGAAATTCTGGACTTAGTTTAAATTGTTGAGTCCTATTCTGGACTTAGTTGAAAGTTACACAATGTTGAATAAAACTGATTGCAACACCATTTTCATTGTACTACAACTCTTTTGTAGCGTACTGTATTTCAGACATTCTCATTGTACTACAACTCATTTGTAGTGTACTATATTTCAGACAATACATAAAATCCAATAAATCTTAACGAAACTTTTTTGGAAAATTTCGTCAGCATCTCGCGCAATAAGACAGTAGGGAGGATCCAAGCGGAAGCGATCGCCTATCATAGGCGATCGGCTGCCGTGGAACCTACGCGCCACCCACCACCCTTGGCCCCGCTGAAAGATATATATGCCTCTCAGAAGTTGCTGTTCACCTGATGTCAATTCTGCAGTTTTACTGAGTTTTGCAGTTTCAAGTTAATTGCAATGAATATTCATCATTTCTCTGCCTTGTAATGAGGACTGCTGGTCTGGTGGAATATGCAAATAAATGAACTGTAATAAAAAAAGAAATGATATGGAATTAAACAACAAATATTAAGACTTTTATTAATTTAATTACTTCTTAATTAATGGCTAAATAATATTTTCATTTATTAACAAAAATTATACACATAATAACTTTTCATCATTTCAACACCAATATCAGCTGTATAAAACTTGACTATAATACAACCCAAGGGTGTCCTGGTCATTGTACAAGCCTTTCTTGGAAAGTTTACCACCTGTTTGTGCATTACACATTAAAGCATCGCAAACTCAAATATGAGATTGTAAATGTTTGATGATACCAAGTGTATATCACCTGTCTCTTATACACATCAGATGTGTATAAGAGACAGTTTATGTAGTTCTTGTTCTGTATATTTTCTAGGAGAACGCTTGTTGAGGAGATTTTTTGTGGGTTGTCAAGACTAGCGTTCAGTTGGAGCTTGTCAGCGTACAGCAGATGAATAATGGGTAGACCGATTAGTTGGAAGCTCGCCAAGTATAAATGAAGCAGATGAACTGTGGCAAACCAAAGTTGTTATACAGAAGGTTGAGCCTAGAAATGAATTGTCAGATTTTGAGATGAAGCAAGTGAACTGTGGAAAGCCAAATGTTGATCGAGAATTGTGGGAAATAGAGACCAATTTGTTTGAATCTTGCTACATACACTGATTGTAAGACATCTTCACTGCAATAGACATTTATTGTTCATTCATAAAATTGGTGGTTATGGATTGTTTGTCAAGTCAGGTTTGTGGTATAATATATTAAGTTACTTAGTGTTAGTCTGATTCTGGACTTAGCGTAAATTGTTGGTCCTATTCTGGACTTCGTGTAAACTGTTGAGTCTTATTCTGGACTTAGTTAAAATGCTGGACTTAGTATAATTGTTGGGTCCTATTCTAGACCTTACAGTAGTGTAAATTGTTGGTCCTATTCTGGACTTAGTTAAAATTCTGGACTTAGTGTAAATTAGTGAAAAATTGTTGGTCCTATTCTGGACTTGTGTAAATTGTTGGTCCTATTTTGACTTACAGTAGTTTAAATTGTTCAGTCCTATTCTGGACTTAGTTGAAATTCTGGACTTAGTTTAAATTGTTCAGTCCTATTCTGGACTTAGTTGAAATTCTGGACTTAGTGTAAATTGTTCAGTCCTATTCTGGACTTAGTGTAAATTGTTCAGTCCTATTCTGGGAATATTCATCATTTCTCTGCCTTGTAATGAGGACTGCTGGTCTGGTGGAATATGCAAATAAATGAACTGTAATAAAAAAAGAAATGATATGGAATTAAACAACAAATATTAAGACTTTTATTAATTTAATTACTTCTTAATTAATGGCTAAATAATATTTTCATTTATTAACAAAAATTATACACAAAATAACTTTTCATCATTTCAACACCAATATCAGCTGTATAAAACTTGACTATAATACAACCCAAGGCTGTCCTGGTTATTGTACAAACCTTTCTTGGAAAGGTTACCACCTGTTTGTGCATTACACATTAAAGCATCGCAAACTCAAATATGAGATTGTAAATGTTTGATGATACCAAGTGTATATCACTGAAGTATCAAGTTAGTGTATCACTTACAGTGATACCGCACGAATGGAAAAAGGTAGGATAGAAATTATAAAAATTATTAAACTGGTTACTGATGGGTGGATGCTCCTTTAAAAAAAAATCACTACATACACATGAAAAAGAATTAAACTCATTCATAAAAATGTAGTTATAAAATTAAAAAAAAAAAATCTTTCCACTTACAAGAATCAAAGCATTTTTCGTTAAGCTCAACACCACTGCTACTTAACTTGTCACTATGTCTATCTGCCTGCTTGCCAACATACCACTCTATAAAATAAACACGATTAAATATAAAAAATCTCATATTTAATACTGGAGTGGAATATTCAATGTCAAATTAGAAAACGTGTAGGCTTGACCTCTGATAAATAGTGTCCAAAATTTGCTACAAAAAAAAACAAAAACAATAATGACATTGTTTACTTTTGGAAAAAATTCAGTCACAAAAAGTCACAACCACTGGGCCAGTGGAGGATTCAAAGGGAGGCCCTAATTTTTTTCCAAATTATTAAAAAAAAATGAGGAAAAAGGAAACAAAATTTGCATGGGAGTCTCATTTCTGGCAATCTAGATGTACCATAATCATAAATAAATAAATAAATTTTCCTATCCCTACCCTATATGCTACATCTGTCCCTGCCCCCACCAATCCCCTATTTTGAATTCCTGGATCAGCCACTGTAGATCACCCAGAAACCAGAAATGACTTCTTTCAACTTGGGACCCCTGATTAATCTAAGCTTATTTTTAAATTAATCTTACCATTTAAAGGTCGGTCTTTATGCATACATTGTGCCTCTACTTAACATTTTTTTATCTTTGTCAATTTATAGTCGGTATGTCCTTGTCTCTAACATCACTATTAGACTATAGGCTTATCTTCATGAAATTTCGACAAAAGGATACCTTGTTCAAACAAGAAATTAAATTGTCTTCACCCAATACCACTCGATCATATAATTCAGTGGGATTTTGTTCATATTGAAAAAATGAAATATCTTTCCACTTACCAGCATCTGGTATTCTTGTGTTGTTACCAATTTTTATATACTCTTCATGAAAATAAACACCACTGCTTCTTAACACTCTGTAAATTAATAATAAATAATAATAATAATAATTCTGGATTAAATAAAAAACATTGAAAGTGAAACAATGTTATATTTACTGTAGTGAAGCTCAAAACCATAGAATGCAACAACCTAGGCTTATAGGTTAAATATTTTAATTGTTTAAGAGTGGGATTTAGCGATGATTGTTTATAGGTGGTCATGTGACCTAACTTGCTTATACATGAAAAACATTACATTGTGATAGCACAGGAAAAGATGTTATGGTTGCGAAAACAACCACCCACTATTAACGCGAGAAGTAAATAACTAGGAAAGGCAATACGATTGTTCAAAATAGAGTTTATTTACTTGTCCTAGCGTTCTCCTTGGATTGTATGCTTAGAAATTCAAGTGATCCTTCATAAACCTTAGCTGGCCCTAATATCGCAGCGTAGTTCGCGGGTCAAAGACCATCATGCATACCTAATCATGCCGTAGATGTGCAGGGGCCTAGGCCTAAAATTTGTCGAAAAATCTTAATGTTTGCAGCCAGTATCCTTTACAGCATTAGAAAAACATTAAGGCAAAATTCTTAAGTTTAATTACCAATCCCAATGAGTTATTTTAGTGGCGCTGTAGTTTCCCAATCCCAATGAGTTATTTTAGTGGCGCTGTAGAAGCAAGGACGTGTAAAGCGATCGTCTAGAAAAACGAAATAAACTTTTGCATTATTTTACCGGTTAAACCTCTTCATATCCGTAAATAAGCAAGTATATCTAACAATTAGGTTGTTGAGAATATTGTGTCACGTGACACCCATCGCTAAATCCCTCTATTTAAAAATGAAACCATATTGTTGAACAAAACTTTTCAATGTGATCCCAAAGACATGCTTTTTTTATTTTCTTAATGTATTTTTTTAATGTTTTATCAATGTAAATCTGAAGACCTAGAGTCGTGGCAATATATTTACATGTTGGGTAAAGCACATTTTTAATAGAGTAAAGAAAATAATGTTAATAATAATTGAGGGGACCTTGAGAGTACTGTAATAACATTTCCCAAATTTTAATTTATAGAAAATTACTTTAGACAAATCGGATATTGAAGATGTGGCACTTAAATTTTAACTTCGCTTTAACGCCCTCACTTTGAACAGCAGAGTATATGGTGGTTTATGTAATCTTTGTAGTGTAAATCATGAGGAAGGCAAATTTATTTATATTTATTTGCTCCCTCTTTTAAACACAAGACTTGAAGAGTTGACTGAACGTGATAGTTAATTAATTTTTAACGACATTTGCATTTTAACTACTGTATTATAAATTGTCTGGCATTACCGTATATACCTGTGTATAAGGCTTCCTGCATACAGTATGACATGACACTGATAAAAAAATTCATCACCCAAAACGCCTCTGAGGTTATTTTAAGGGGCCTAGAACACAAATATTTCATAGGGGAATTCCCCTGGACCCCCTAGGGTAGAACTATCTTGATTAACCCCACTTTCGGCCCGCCTCAGTAATTTCATAGCCTTAATCTTATCTTTCTATGCCTTAACCCATTGGAAGCGGCAGTGGCGTAACTACCGCAGGTTCAGCAGTTTCATTCAACCTGGGCCCCAGATTTCCTGGTGCTCTCAATCCATAATGGCCCCGCCCCTTATAAAAAATGTAATATACAGTAGCATTGTTTTATTGTGACATTTATATATTTTGCTTCCACTTAGCCAAGTAATTTTGGAACCACAATAACTCATAGTTTTAAATTTTTTCTAGTAGTAAGAGACTTTCTTTATTCCTTGTTTCGCGAACTTATAGTTTCAAAGATCGCCAGAAGAGGGTGGGAAAATATAAATAAAAATAAAATTTGTTTTCTTGTTTAGCAAGTAGTTTTGCCACCTAGAATCATCGTGAGATGACGAGAGGGGACTAGGCCCTTATCATACAGGTAGGCTAGGCCCAAGGCCTTCTTCATCCTACAGTATGAAATCGGTTAGGCCTACTGTAGGCTGTAGCTAGGATTCGGAGTATACTACTTGTACTATACTTGGTACTGCCAGGGGCCTAGACTAGTTGAATAGTATTCCATGGTATAAGCTCCTACCTTAACCAAATTCAAACCGTAGGTCCCTTATATATTGAACACACCATATCTTGATGTTGAGCCGTACAAAAAGTGGGATTTTACGAAAATATCAACTTTCTATGCCCAGCAATCTTCGCATACCTGCCACCATGCTGCCACACCAATCCCGATTGCTTGTTTACCTCCTGAAGTGACGTCACGAGGCTTAATGTACGATACGCCATTGGCGTCTCTATAAAACGAATTATTAAACGTTATATAGGCTTGGCACCTTGAACTCTGAGGATTAGGCCTAGTGCCCCAAATTTACTACATACACGTAAAATATAATAATGAGCGATTATCATTATTAACAACTTTCGGTACAATTATAAGCCGCTCCTCATCTTTATATGCTTTTCTTCAATTCTTTTTTCATTCAGTCATTCAATTATTTCTGGTTTATTCAGAAAAACAAATTGACATAGCAGCATAAAATCTTATTACGTCAATTTACAATAGCAGTTTCACATTAAAAAGTTATTAAAAACACACTCTTAAAATTGATATACAAAATTCACAAAATGGACAAAAAACAAGGGGAATCACAAAAAGCCCACATACAGCACATAATTAACATAAATTTTAAAGATAAAATTTTCAATAATTAATCATGCAAAAGTTAATAAAATTGAATTAATTAAATAATATACAAATTAGAAAAATTACATAAAAATTGGACTGCACACTTTCTGTAATTTAATTAAATATACATAAAACAAATAATAAGGTCAATGTACTGTACACTATTGCTATTGTACCTAAAAGTAGTAATTACATTTGGTAGGGAGTCACATTATTTTCTAATTAAATTGATGGGATAATATGTATAAAAATTTAGAGAAAAAGTTACAATTTTAATTTTTATATCTTATTTATTTTCTTATTGCATCATAAATTTAAAAAATAATCACTCGTCATGAAAAAATACGAAACAAATATAAAATCACACGATCGACAGAAATATATATAGGCCCCTAGGCCCTATACACATATTTAAAAGTTGTTCACAAAAAACGAAATTATATCAAAATACAGTACAAAATTACCAATCAACAAAAACCAAATTAATTATCATTGGACGTTATTTACTAATCAAAAAGGTTTAACATAAGTCATTGTTAATTACAAACGGCAAGGTAGATTTTTTTTAAAACGTTCAGTTCTGCAGTGGTACTACCATTTCTCGGATTTCTATTCGTGGCTTTAGAACGAGTATCAGGGGGGATATTATCCATATTGTACATAGACAGTCCTCCTTAAACTTCCGGACGATCACAGAATCTGTCTAATCGAGGGCGGCGGTGGTATAGGAAAAATACTGCCGCCCCAGAACAATTCTGCAAAATCATTTCTGAACAGACTCCAAATCATCACTTTATACAGAGTTAAACCCTGTATACACACGACGATAACGATTGATATAAAACAAAAATGCAATTATCCATATAGAAAATTTAAAAACGTGAGAAGTTTTCACACTAGCAGCACGAGATTTATCGTGTTTACGATAATAATAATAATATTAATAATAATAATAATAATAATAATAACAATAATAATAATAATAATAAAATAATAATAAAAGTAAGAGCAACTTTTTGACTCTCAAATGCACACCCAAATTTCAATCGTCACCAACACTTTTATAATTTCTTCCTTGTAACTTGGTTAAGCTTTCACGGAAATTTCATTCATATCAGTTGATTAGTTTTTGAAATATTTGCTCGAGACAAGACAAAATTTTCAAATATTTCATTAATATCAATTGTTTAGTTTTTGAAATATCTTGTCTAGGACGTTTGCTCCTAAATCCCATTATGTGGTCCTCACATTTACACGCTACTCCAGACCGTCACCAAAATTTAATAATTTCTTTATTGGGTTATACGTAACACTCCCTGTTATTTTCAATTATGTCTGTGCAGCAGTATTTGAGATATATCGCACACAAAAAAAAAAAAAAAAAAAACACCCAAAAAAAAAAAAAACACACACAAAAACACCAAAACTTGACACACACAAACTTGCACGATTTTGAACATCAACATAGAGTGGTAGTGTGTTCACTCGAAGGCACAGCATGGTGTTTTCATCGAGGTCCCTGATTGTCCATTGGTGATCAGAACTGATATTAACGATTATTATTAAGATTTGGACGCGACATAATGGTGCGCTTTGAGAAAGTTACGTTTCTCTGTAAACAGCAGAAATTGTGCGAACTTTCCATTGATTATATATTACATCACCATAGCATATAAACACAAGCACACACTGCATTTTGGACAACTACGACACCGGTAACCGATGAATCTGTCTTCACTCCCCGGGAGCACTGGACACAATCCGTCTGCAGACAAAACAAAATCGCCTTCAGCCCTGCAGGCTTCATGAAATTTTTTTCGGAAAATAATGGCTCACTTGGCCTCTATTTTCCATAAGGTCCTCAGAATTTGACTATACTGTACAGTAATTGTATATTATAAAATAAATTTTCATACATGAATATATAGATTACATATACATGAATAATGTATATATAATGTATTTATGGATCAATAATGTATATATAATGTATATATACATTATATACACGTATGTATATAATGTATATATGTCTAAATATATGTATATAAGTCTATATTGGATGGATGGATGTTTATATATTAAATTTAGTATGAAGAAAACCATATGAATATATACATTACATATACATTTATAATGTATATATATATATATATATATATATAATACATATGCATTATACATTTATAATGTATATAAGTCTAATATCTATATTGTATGGGAATATGCAACACATCTACGGTTATAGATTCATATGAATTTATTTTCTAGTACGTATCCAAGCTATACAGAAAAATCATTCTCCACTATTGCATACACGTGGAGTCCACCATCATCATCACTGTAACAATTCCTTAATAAATAAACAATTTAGCGTCTATCCATTCTGGCTTGGACAGAACTGCAAAAAACCAACTTGAATATTATGTACAAAGACAAAATTCTAACAATATCTCAAGTCTAACTGTAATTATAATCACAATACAAAAAAAAATAGTTGTGATAATTTCTTTAAATATTTTGACATTTTATTATTGAATTGAAACATACACATTGAGTTTGCAGAATGAACAAAATTGAGCATTTCTCATTCCGTGCCGTGTAAACATTTATACTCTCATCGCAAATTAACATAAATTTTCTTCTTTAAATTCTCAACCTATACAATACACGATTTGATTGTTCTTTCTTTGAATAACAAAATTAATTTCAGACATTCTCTGAAAAAGTTGTATAGAAAAAATGCACAATAGAAAGAAATAATATGGGTTCCTCCTAAAGATTATTCAAAATTGCAATAAATTTAACTTACACAAGTCAGCAACCGAATATATTTTCAGTAGTTATATATGTATCGAATTCATTCAACACCGATACTAAAAACCAACTGTAAAAACTGGAAGCTTGTTTTTCTATAAGCATAGTTCAAAGGTCAAAAAATAGGTCATGACCTCATCAATATACCTACATTTTTTGGAAACTCTTCATTCTTTTAAATACTGAACTAAACAATATTTGAGTACTTATCACCATTATTTTTCTTCTCTGTTAACACAAACACACATGGAAACTTTTCCCTCAACATAGAAAATTGAGAAACTTGTATTAATAATTGCATATTTTCTTCTGCAACGCATCAACCAATAAAATAAATAAATTGTCTATGAAACTCAAGATTCATAATAATGTTGCTTTCATATCACCTTATTGCTCTGGCTTCAGATAGCCAGCACCAGTATGTAATGGGAAGCTGTAACCCCTAGCAACTAGCTTCTGATAAACACTGCCCTCTTGAGCTATCAAGCTCATGACATAATGGGCAAGTGAGGGCAGCATCATATAAAGATCGAGGTATGTACTCTAAATGAAGTCTGACAGATATTATTTCCACATGTACTGTTGATACAATTATTGATAAAATCAGATAGTTATAAAATTGGTAAGCAGCATATGTCCCATACAGCTTCTTTAGTATAATTGGAAAAACAGATAAAACATTAGAATGATCCAAGATTTAAGGGACTTCTGTTGCCTAAACTTGAAAAAATAAAAACCTGAGTATACAATAATCATTACATATCATTAAAAAACCAATTTGATTTAGAAATTAGAAATTAACAGTAAAACAGTATAGTACTCAAAGAGAATATTAATAATGTTATTAGTGATATTTTGATCATAAGTCCAATATCATTTCTACCAGCTGTACCAACTACAACTATTCAACTGTTCCATATTCATTTATAATTTCCATTAAACTATATCATATTTCTGAATCAAATTCACTCATATTTATCAAAAAAGTTTCCCAGAATGGCTTTACATCAACACCCATGTAATACTGTTCTAACTTGTAATAGCACTAGCATAATTAATAAATGAAATCCAAGAATACCAGACGAGCGGCCTATTTCAGGCCCGTAACCAGTTTGAGTAATAAGGAGAATCAATTTAAAACATGCATGGTGGAGGCAGGTGGTCCCACAAGTTCTTTTAATAGATATCCAAAATACGTATTTTTAATTCCATTGAAAGAGGATTCACCTGGTTACTTACGAGCCTACATTTCTAGTTTGAGGAGAAAACCGTTCTTGGGGGGGGGGGGGGGGGGGGTGTGTGTAAAATTACATTGCACTTGATAAAAAAAAAATACCATTGCATACATCCCTGCTAAATGTACAAGAAAAAGTTCTTATAACAAGCCAGACTGGATATTGTGATATTTCATTCTTTTTTATAATTTTCTTCTCTAAATAAAATTAAGTGTCTGAATGAAGAAATAAATTACAATTTTAAGTCTTAATGCAAAGAAATGTTCACACTTGTAGTGCATGTCTAATTGTTTTCTGTCGCCTAAATAAGTATCAGTGAAGGCACATTTGTGATCTACATTTTAAATCCCTGTCCACATGGTTAGTCAGACGCTGACATTTAAAGCCCTATTCACATGATTAGTCAGTGGCTGATGTTTTAAAGCCTTGATCCTATGGTTTGTCAGTGATTGATTCACACGGTTAGTCAGTAGGAAGAGAATCATATTCTTGTATTTTCAGCAGGATAGAATTCAGTGTGAACTGAAATTGTCTTGACTTCACACACATCCAATATGGATGATGCCAACCAAATTTAGATCCCCGATCACACTGAAATACAGATGCTGATAATCATAATACTTATTTAAGTCATGTGACTAATCAGGTGATCAAGAGTACATGTGATCAAATAATACTATTTTATTTTCTTGAATAAGTATTTATCATTGTTGCTGGTGTTCTGTTAGATTCTGTCCCTGAAGAAATATTGGCTGCTGGTTGAAAGCTAAGGTGAGACCGGACGACCCTTTGCCCTGGACTACTGTTGGCAGCGCGGTTGCATGGTTCTGTATTAGTGCGTTGTTGATGTGCAACGGTTTTCCAGGTTGCGTGGTTGTGATAAGGTTTGCCATGAGTTGTTGGGATTGTAGTTGCGATGCTTGGCCTAGCGTCATCTGCTGGGCCAGTTGCATGGAGGGTTGGTTCGTCAATGGCTTTCCCAGGCTACAATTTGATTTGCTAGTTGCAACAAACTGCACCTTGCCTACAAAAAAAAATAATATAAATACAAATTAATTGATTGTACACACAGCAAGGGAAACTTTGGCAATAGGAAATTCATAAAGCATACAAGAAAACTAAGAATTTTACACTAGCGCCAACCATATCTATTCATTAAATTTTATCAATCAAAAGATCATTAAGCAATGGGCCAAGAAAATGATATGGCATACTGTATTATTGATGATTATCTATGACTCATGAATAATTGATAAAAATATACAAAGTATTTATGTTATACCTTAAAATCCTGCATTTTATATTATCATCTTATTATTATCAATAATTATTATAAGTATGAATACCATATAAATATTATTTTTTAGCCTGGTTCTCACAAGAGCACTAGTATCCGGATTGGGAGCTAACCGTTAGCGCTAACCGTTAGCACCTGTGTGAGAACGCCCGATCCGATACCGCTAACGGTTAGCCAGCGCTATCGGTTAGCAAGTTGAGCACGTTTCTATCATCAACCAATCACATGTACGTGTTTACAATTCTCAGTTTCTTATTGGCCAGTGATTCGATCATCATATTCTTGGTATCTGGATTGAGATTTTTTAGTATGGACACATGGCAGCTAACGGTTAGCAGGATCCGGATTCTGCTAACCGTTAGCTGCGGTGTGAGAACATAGGCTAGGTCTTTTGTGTTGTAATTTTCTTTCTTTTTTTTTTTTTACCCTTTTTGCCATCCATTCTTGTATCTTTTCAATTAAAAAACATTAATTATATTTAAGCCAATGAATATGAATGAGCTGATAAGTGAATAGAAGAAACTTAAGAAAAACTACCTGATTGAGAAAGCACCGCGGTAAAATTTGTAGTGGAAGATGTCTCAGGAACTAACGGCCCTAGTGGGGATGTATTGCATGGGCTCTGTTGGACAATTGTCGTGGGCTGCTGTTGCTGCTGTGGGTTACTGACTGAAGTTGCTAGGAATGGTTTTACATTAGTAGACGGAATGATTCCATTGGGTATAGGTGATAACATGTGAGGACTCGCAGAACCCTTGAAAGAAAGGAAAATATATACAATTCACATTACTGTTTGTCTTAAAGTAATTAACTGAAATAAATTTCCAAATCTGAGTTGCTTAAGCTCGGTTTCCTTCAAGATTGCGTCAGGGCAGCTAGCAATGCACCCTGATTCGTCTGCGTTTATTTAACCTTCCAGACAACCTTCGGAGACTGCCGCCGATAGGGTAAGCGATTCTATGGAAAACGAGCTTGACAATCAATTAGAAATATCAAGGAAAGTTTTTTGTTGGTTATTAACAGACGTACAATAGCATTCTTAAGCTGTCCAGACTATCAAATTTTATTTGATAAAAACATGTGACATGCCTAAATATGGTCATGACGACACATCATAACCATATATAGGCACGTCATGACTATATGGGCATAGAACAGCTTTTTGTCAAAGAAAATTTGACAAGTCTGGATAGAGCTTTATATTGCTGAAGACCTTTACTGGAAGTAAATATAAGAATACTTATAGTAAAAAAAAATCTTGTTCATCAGTAAAAATTTATTTAATCCGAGTCTAACTGGAAGTTGATTGTTCGATTTCCGTAAATGAACTGAATATTGTAACAGAAAGTTTGAAGGTTTTACAGGATTTTAACAATTAACAATCTTTAAATATGATATTTTAGATATATAAATTTAAATAAATCAATTTGTGAAGGCATTTTGGATAACTAACCTGATTTATTTGGGGACTATTGGCTTTTGACACAGGACTTGGTGCTGTTTGAAATCCTCGCAGATCTTGAACTGTACCATCCTGTTTCACTTGACTGACTAACTGTTGTTGCTGTTGAAGTAGACTTGGACTCACTATAACACCCCCATGAATTGCCAATCCAGGCTTGCCTTTTCTACTTCCTTTTAACTTGCTATTATTTTTTATTCTTGATTTAACATTCATTTTACCATCATTGTCCACCGTCATGTTCTGTAATAACACTGGTGTATTACCAGCAATGGCTTTGAAAAATGGTATTCGAGTTTGATTGACCTTATTCGGTTGGCCACCGTTCACATTCGGTTCAATGTTTGTCACAACCACCAGGTTTTTCAAATTTCCCGACTGGTCAATTAAATTCATAGTCGAATCGACTCCTAGCAAGTTTGTGTCAATATACTCAGCGTTCTGCAAGCCATTGGTCGTGACTAAAAAAGGCGTAGTAGAGGAGCCCGAAGTGAGCTGTAATGTTCCTCCAATCGGGATGGCCGCATTGGTAATTAGCTGGTTAGCATTTGTTGCCGTGGCACTAGTTGAGGTACTTAACGTTGCATTTTTCTTTTGGCTTTTCGTAACCTTGGTCTGCGTGCTGGTTCCCGAGCCGGCAGCGGCTCGTATTGATTTCGAGATTGTTTTCGATCTTTTTGGATGACTAGATTTAGAAATTGTCTTTGACGTCGTTTTTGATGTCGGCGTTGCCACTTGATTCAACACCATACTACTAGTATTTGCAGAGCTCTTTGATGGTATACTGGACGTTGATAAACTAGTTGTTGGCCGTCCTGATAATGAGGACGATGCACATGCTTTCCTGAAAACAAGTCAAAAATATCAAAATGTAGCATTATCAAACTATATGAAAAGTACATAAGTCAACTTTACCAACCCCTTGAGGACACCAATTGCTGGCCCCTTAGAAGTATCAACCAACAACCTCCAGGAAATACCCCCTGATATCAAACTCTACTTTATAAGTACTATGACTTAGTACTGTGTGAGAAGGCACAAACAACCATGTGAGAAGACACAAAGAAATTGGTCTAGTTTGGAAGAAAACATTATACCCAAAGATCAGACAAGTGCTAGGCCCAGCTAGGAGTTTTATGCAATCGTAATGCAATCTTTTTATTACTTGGTTCATTTTCAACATTTATTGTATACTTTCAGAATTAATCTAAGGCATACATGGCATAGAATTTCCAATACAAACCTCTCCAAATGGGCAAATTTGCCTCTACATTGATGAAGCATTCTTTTACAATGACTAAAATATTAGGAAGATTTAAGAGGTGGGCTTATAGACAAGGAAATTCAGTACTGAGCAAATCTCGGATATACTCACTTGGCGGGTGGGGGGTTTAACTGTTTGTCAATCAGAGCTTTAAGGGATGACCTTAAAGAATGAAGTCTTCGATCAAACAAGTAAACACCACGACCGATTTGATGAGCACCATAGTGACAAACCTAAAAGAAATACATTAATAAAAGTTACTTTAGTACAATATTTCAGAAGGTAGCCCTAACTGCAATTTTGATTTTAAATTCCTCATTACAATGAAGCTGGGAATAAAGTACGCTGTCTGCCACATTAAGCTCTGTCCACACTATCAAAACTGTTGTATGCCCATATATAGTCATGATGTGATGTCATCATCACCATAATTGGCATGTCACATGTCTTTCTCAAACAAAATTTGATAGTCTGGATAGGACTTATGAAAATTTGATCATACAGTTTACTCTTGATTCAGATTTTTGAAAACATCCAGCAGAGTAAATAACTCGCCAATTACAGGTTGGACTTCATTATAAACTACCATAAGTCTCCTTATTATGAGGCTTAGAGAGTGGAGTTAATTTTAGTTGTGCTACAAAAAAAACAAAAAAAAAAAAAACTGCTGTGGATTAACCTTAAATATAAAAAAATGACCTTCAAATTTGGGTTATACTACCCCAATAATTTTCCTATAAGCACAAATTAAGATATTTCCCATTAAATATTAAGAAAAGACTTGCTGAAAAAAAAGTACATAAATCTAATTTCTGGAAACATAATAAAAGAGTAGATATCAACCATCAACAAAGACAATTTATATGCAGATGAGATAAGACAAAGATCAATAGAAAATCGCTGATGCATACGCTAGCATAACTATGCACAGGAAACACAATTGTTTCCTTTCAACTTCAACATTATAAAGATTAAAAAAATGTTCACAAAATAAGTTCAAAAACATTTCGAATTATTTTACAACTAATCAATGATCGACTTTAAATACAATTTTTTTTTTAATCCTAAAAATCAATTTTGAAATTGACTTATTAATTTAGTAATCAATTTTTTATAATAAATATAATGATAAATATCATTAGAACACTTCTAGTGTTTATTATTTCTGTACTTTTTGTAATTAAATTGCGGTAAACATGAGAAAGTTATTTTTAAAATAAATTTTTATGATTTTTGTTTTCTATAGTTCATGGGAAAATATATCTTTAAAAGAACTCACGAGGTTGAAGATTTAAAAATACATTTTTGACTCTTTATAGGTGTGGTACATTTATAGCCCCACCTTTATAAATAATGTTGATTGAATGATGTTTTTAATAAAGAATTCCGCAGACAGCTATAATAACAAATCATGTGTCAATTGTAGAGGAACCTGTCCTTTTCACCCATGTTTTTATTTTTAGAAAAAAGTATTTATTTTATTGCATTTTATCAGAGAAAAAAGTAGATAAACAACTATTTAATAGTAGACCTATCCTTCAATTACGCTACACTTTCAACAGGCTCATTAGTTTATTTGATTTATTTAGGTAAAGCAACATGAACAAATGCGAAGACTAAAAAAACACAAATGAGAGCAGATCATTAACAACCTGACAGGATTACTAAGTAGCGATATAAATCTCTGTCAAGAAACATTAGTATGCAGAACTGGGAAATTGTAACTGTTAGCTGAAATCACTGTTCATCGAACATAATATGTGCACTTAATGCAGATGACAATAATTGTTTTGTTGAATTCTGCTGACGACAGTTTAATTATTCTTGCTAAAAAAACTATGCAATATATAAGCAATAGTCCTTCAATCAAACCAAATTACAGCACATATTTTACTACCAATTATCATAATTTGTTTATTCTTAAAGAATTTAATCTGGTTTCATGGAAAACAGTTTGGTTAAATTAATAACACTTGATAAACCAAAAAAGAAGTGTATTTACTATGCTTTGTTTAAGCTGCATGTTTCAGTATAATATTCAAGTGAAGGTTACTGAAACATGTTAAATAGCAGAGAGAGCTGGATTATCAAGAGAAAAAATGTATTTGAAGGTAAAGTTTGAAAGCTGAAGTTCAGGATTCACAGGCCCACCTCTCTTTCTTGTGGTGCTTACGCAAGACTGTGCATGGCTGTGGGAGGGGGGAGCTTGCCACTCATTCTTTCGAACCGCACACCTCAAATTTGCGACTTTGAGGTACAACCACTGCGCCAACCGCTTTCATATAAATCTTTAAAATTGTTAACTTGACATGAATATATTTTTAGACAAACTAACATTAATACTTAATGAAAAAAGAGAAAGAAAAATATTAGGAAGAAATGAAATACTTACAGCTATAGGTTTAGGTTGTTGGTAAGTACATATGTGAGAATCTGAACCGATTTCTCCCAAATCATCTTGGGCATCAACAGAAAGACCACTGACCCGTCCTCCTGAATCAGCTCTTACAAGGTTTTTATGGTCTGCGGACGTAGGGGTGGAAGGGGCTGAATGAGGGTGGGAACGCCTGTGAACAAAATATATTTTGGTATTGGGAGTGATAACAAAGTAAGAATTAATGGCTTGGTTGTTTGACAAAAAGAAAGGTAACAGAAAAGTATATTATACAAATAATGAAAATTATAAGTGCAATGCGAAGAATATTTTCATTTTCATGAGTTGTTTCATTCAACGAGGCAGGAATGTAACAGTGAATATTTCAACTCATGAAAACATTCTTTCAATAGCGCAAATAAAAAATATTCATTATTTGTTTTACAACACACCTAAATTCTTGTCATTTGATATTTAATGAAAAAAAATCTACCTTTTATCTGAATGGAAATTCCTGTCATTTGATATTTTTATGAATAAAAACTACCCTTTTAAGCAATCAAAATATTGTATTAAGTTGAAGTCATATCATAGCATAGGTGTCATGCAATGGAGTGAAACAGATAGAATGAAAATGCACGGATGGAAGTAAAAATACACGGTGGAACTAAATTTCCATGAGTGACAAAATGGGATAAATAACCAATATCACATGATACAAAATCAACCAATCAAATGACAAAGACCTATAACTGTGTGATCCGATAGATTTGAGGAGGAAATATTCCATTAAGTTATTATAGTGTGCACTTAGTTTCTTTAGAAAAATATCACAACTACAATAATTTTATCAGATTACTAACAAATTCTTTCTAAAACGTGTTAGTGAATTAAGCAAAGAGCTTTGATATTAGTAGAAACTATGCCAGTTTAATGACTGCCTGTTGACATAGATTAGCTGGATACGTTATTATTATTATTGGGCGAAATTAAGAGATTTCCTGGCAAAAATATGAACACTTAGTGTGGCCACAGAGTTGAGGCGCTTGAAGAAATGGAAGCTATTCTATTAATCCCCTTTATGCGTTTACCACTCAATATTTTGTAGAAATGTAGGCAGTAGATAGATTCGGAAATTGATAGTATTGCAGTGCATAAATTCAAGTGAACTAGGACATAGTGGATTTTAAAATGTTGAGGATAAAACACATAAAATTCTGAAATAACGACAACATAAATTTTTATCACACCTCAGCAATAAGCCTTGCACTACAAATTTTTCTGTTCTAAAGAAGATAATATCTACAACAACTAGTATTCTTGCAATAAAAATATGTTGTCTTATACGATAGTTTCTTCCATGTCAAGACAATTTTTGAAAACTGTTTTTGGTGATTTTAAACTATTGATAATTTTGTTTATGTTCTATACACATGTATTCTCTAAATTTGTAGCAATTTTTATAGTGGTCAATTGTTTATTATTTAATTTTTTTTAAGGTAACAATTGTTTTTTGAGTTTATGATGATACATAAACATTATTTGTAAGAAACCTCAATAAAAACTTACTTAACAGGATGGACACCGAGGTCAGGTGGGCGCGGTGGACGAGGTGTTGATGGCATTTTTGGTGGCGTCTTTGGCACTGAGTGAAGTCGGTCAATTGCATGCGAGGAAGTTTGCGTGACATGTAAATTTGAGATGGTGGAGGCCATCTGGGGAGTGACCTCATGAAAGCCTGATGCTTGCTTAGGTGAGTGCTTTGTGCCATGCGTCTGTTGGTAATGCACGGCATTGATGGCCTTCCGTTCCGCAAGGAGCTCATCCAGTGGCTTTTGCCGTCCAGGTACCTTCCGCCGTAAGGATAACGCGTGTGTCTGAGGAGAAACATGGATTATAATAACATGAATTTTTCAGATAATTTGATATGCAACATAGTGAAACAATAATGAATAAACAATTACACCACAATTTAAACCAAATACTTATGATGTATTTCTATCATGATCTTATCCCCAGAGTACACGCTTGCTTTACTTTTTTTTAAATATTTATAATCTTTCACAAAAAAAGATTCTAATTTTTATTCTTACCTTACAGGTCAATGACCGGAGACATGGTTTACCTTCTACTTCCACTCCACAATGTTTATTCGGATCATACTCTCGATCTAAGGAATACAAAAATTTTGTCAAACCTAGATGAACTACTCCGTCTAGATAACCAGCCTGACTAACCACCATAAAAACAAATTTAATAATATATAATAATTCTGGACAGCACCTCATGTTGTCACAACAACACAGAGAAGAAAATAAACCATAAACTAATGTACAAATGTACAGTAAATTATTCACCAATATATTTTTTTGAGTTTAGTTTTAATTTATTTGATGATTATTAATCAGCATTTCAACACATATATGGCCATGAATATCTTTGGCATTATTCCTTTCACTGAGCTCCTGGATTCAACCAATGTTATATATAACTTATTTGTTTTTATTTCAACATAACCTATCAATTAACCTTTTATGCTGCTGGCAAAATCTATTTTAAGACCCAAAAACACAGAAGCTTTTGTGAAGAGAAATTAATTTCAGTAGTGATTGCTTCGATAAACATCAATTTTTGCCCATGTATGTTATTCAAAATTCGTTTTCAAGTAGACATAAAATTTATGAAGAAAATTTAAATTCCATCTATCATGTATGTTTCTCAAAAATTGGTTGTAGTCGTGTCTTATTTCAATTTTGATATTATCCTAAATCCAGAAAAAGACATATATAATGGATGGAATATTATGTTTCATCACAATTTTTATTTTCACATAAAACAACAAGATATTAATATGTAATGTAAATTTCCAGAATGTCATAACATGTTATTTGATAGCCAGGAAGATTTTCCAGTGTAGGATTCTATACCTTAGCAACATTTACAAATATTAATTGAAATTTTAAATATTTTATTAGTTTTGTAAGAAAATGTTTTTTTTAAAATGTTATTCTGCTTTTACAAATCCCAACTTTATCTGCACTGCTTCTCTCTACCCAGGAGTATAAAATGGGTACCTGGCGGGGTTGCCTGTTTCTGGGCTGATTACCAGCAGCAAAATTTAAGCATGTGTACCCAATGACCAGGGAAAAAAAGTGCTTTGTATAATAATAATGAGAAATTAATGAAATCAATCATACTTTAACCCATAGTCACAACATCCATCAGAAACAACCAACAAGAGTATGATTCCCTCTGTTAAATAATTGACTCATTTTAAAAAGGTTGGATACAAAATATACAAGCCTTGACATTATTTACGTACAACTTCTGGTTATGTTAATCTCAATGGGTTCACTGTCTATTGCAATGGGTTCACTGTCTATTGAGAGCATTTATAAAAAATTATGGCTCATCTCCCAGTATCAATCTGACCTCACAATTTATGCATTTTTTATTTCCTTTCGCATTCAATCATATATCGCAAGCACCTATTATGGGATGCTCCTTAAAATCTGTTAAAATGAGTCTCTAGAGGGTAACTATGGTGGTTTAAGTTAATAGGGACAATATACAGGGTACCTTCCTAAATTCCAAGCATCAAGTCAACATTTGGTTTTTCATTTGGAAAATTATCTTCATGCGTGAATGCCTTTTATTACCCTCTAGTGTATAGCAAGCTTGTTTTTATATGAATTACTACATATTTTTTTACATAGTAGATGATACTGACAATGACAGTTGAACAATTTTAGGATGAATGCAGTTAATTTATGGAGTATTGACCAAAACTCATAACAAATATTTGTTTTCATATTTGTCTTTATTAAAATAATTTTGGGGTACACACATTTTTTAAAAAACATAATACAAAAACAAACAATGCTAAAATGCATAATACAATGACAGCGACATTTGTGAAAATTTAGTATCTGAGGATAAAAGAAATAAGTGTACACATGAATTTCTGTCTCTTATACACATCTAGATGTGTATAAGAGACAGTCCAGGTACCTTCCGCCGTAAGGATAACGCGTGTGTCTGAGGAGAAACATGGATTATAATAACATGAATTTTTCAGATAATTTGATGTTTCATGAGTTTGCACGGCCAGAGCCACACACTTGAAACATTGTTGAATATAAATCCGATTCTTATTTTTATATTGATAAGCGAGACTATATCTTATCTTCAGCTTGATTTTATACTCTTTATTAATAGGTTGTTTTATCTGCATTTCTTCTCCTTCAGTCTTTTATATCACTTTATATTGTGATGAAATTCCCAAGTTACCAAATTCAATATATATTTGACATTTTACGATGCAGATGTTTTTTAAATATATTTCACTCCCTTCTTCAATAGTTATTGACTGTCAATAAAAATTTTATGTTATAAATCAATAAAACCAATTATATGGAGGAGAAATTATTTAGCTGAAAACTTAGTGAAAAAAATTAAAACAATTCATTACTTTTTATTCATTCTAAAGTTTATTAGGTTAACATGGTTAATATATCTGAATCACTGAAATACAGCAACGCAGGATTGGACAGCTTGGCCAATTTCTGAGGCTGACCAAAGAATTCAGAAAGCTACCTTGAGAAGGGCTTGAGCAGTGAAACGTAAAGCAGGTCAACCAAGAACATGGTAGCTACGAACAATGAATAATAAAAATAGGCTCCTAATAGGAGCATGAATATACTGCAAAAACTAGGCTAAAGTACTCCATTATCGGACAAGTTGCTATCTGCCATTGGTCAACTGTCAAAACTTAGGACTAATTACCAACTCCCTGATTCTACCACAGCATGAACTTAAATGAACCTTAACACATTCCATTTTACAAAGAAATTTCACTACCACAGCATAGAGTATATCTGCGCAAGCACACTCCACAGATCATTTCACGTAGCAGCACCAAAGCTCTGGAACAGCTTACCTTCTAGGGAGAAGCACCCACCCTTTGCTATTTTCAAGACAAGCTAGAAGATGCATCTTTTCAGTACTTGCTATTAATTTCAAATATCATTATCATTAGTTTTTTGCTTTTAGAGTATTGCTTGTACGCTTGACTAGATAGTTGCCTTACATCATGAGAGCATCTGTTAATTATGTGCCTGCCCACCATTGCTTGTCAATAGTCTTAAATTGTAGGCCAACAATGCAGTGATGTTTGTTTTTTATGCACAGTTTGTTCACTCTGCATTTAAATATTTTTTTGGTTACAATAGGTTGCTTTTTTAAAATAATTATTATCATCTGTAAGTGCATTGAGACTTTGGTATAATGCACTATATCAAGTCCCACTACATTACATCATTACATTCTAAAAGTGAAAGAACAGTGCCTACAGGTAAACCATATGAGACCAGAATATAGATGGAAATACCTCACCATAGCCTTATGTCCAATTGAACATAAAGAAAAGAATTTGAAAATAAAAAGCAAATTTTTATTGGATTTTCATCTAAAACCTTGAAGTGAAGAACGTATTTTGCAAGATGTAAAATCTGAATCTGTAACCATGCAAACGACAAGTATAAATTTAAGCAATGGCCTACAGCCTACAACTTACCTCAGTAGCTAACCAGCCAACAAAACTAATTTCAAAATGAATGAAAACAATCCTTACCCTTTAAAGGCAAGAATTTGCGTGGCGAATCTTTCTTTTTTGACTTCTTGGTCGATGCAGGTGTGAGCACAGGTGTGCTTACAGGTGTGGTGGCAGACGTCGTTGATGGGGTGACAGGCGATGGTGGTACTTCCTTAAGTAAGCTATTTTCAGTCCATAACAATTCTGGAGCTATCTTTGGTATTACAACCAACGGTTGATTATGGTTACTTACTGTTGGTTCCGGCTAACAAGATACAAAAATAAATCAAAAATTGTGCTGTAAAGTAATCTAGTCAAAAGGTAAAAGGTCGACTGTCAATTGTCACCATTACTTACTACAGCTATTTGTATTGCTCTGACTCAATTTTAGAATGAACTTCTCCAGATGCTTTGGGGCATGAATAACTAACACTGTTAATCTTGTAAAATGTAAAATGTAATTAATAAACTATTAATGCTGTATACTGTATGTGAAAAGACATTTGTAATGTGCTGCTTATTTTGGCATTAAGCAACAACAGACATTATTATTAAACAGTTATATCATGTGTAAAAACATACTGTACTAAGAAAAGAAAATAACATTAAAAACAAGCAGAAGCAAAAGTAAAATGGGGACAAAAAGTCCAAAAATCAAGCATGAAATATGAATAATCAATAGTATTTATAATTACGTAAAATGTAATTACTAGTTATAAAATATTATGCTGTATATGTCATGATAATACATTTGTAATGTGCTGCTTATTTTGGCATTAAACAACAACAAGCAATAAAGCAGATATATAATGGGTAGAAATTAACACTAAGAAAAGAAAATAACATTAAAACAAACAGAAACAAAAATCCATGGGGACAAGTCTAAATATTGAGCATGAATTATGAATACTGTAATCAATAGTTTATAATATACAAGAAAAACTTTTATATATTATCCATAAAATATGAGCAACAACATTTAGAATTTGCCATTAATAGCACAGTATGTATGTAACGGGTCCCGAGAGAGGATTCTGTACCTTAAGGCATGCAAATTGCAAATGCGGAAGGTCACATCATCCCCACTGATCATCAATTTCCTTGTCAGCAAATGATAATTAGCTTTATCTTAATTGTAAACGGATTGCATTCAACGTACCAGATTTTAGGGCTTAGCTGGAACAACTAACACTACTGTAAAATTGACAATATTTATCATTCTTGGGTTTATAAACAGACAAAAAAGCCATATTGTATGACTTCTAACCTTTTTAACTTTAGGTGGTTTGTCGCCGACCAAGAGTGAGCATGTATGCTCACTCAGCTGGGAAGTCTTGGCATTTTTAATTGGTCGACTCACAGGCGACGGTATCATCACGGAATTCGGCTGCGGCGGTAAAGGCACAGAGATTTGCGGTTCTACAATCGGCACAGCAACCGATTCCTTTATCTGTGGTGGTGACGAGATTGACAAACCCCGAGTCGCAACAGGTGGCGGTTGGGGTGGGGGTCGTGACCCTTTTGATATGTTATGTGTCCTAGGAGACTCTCGCTGTGGAGGATGCTTTGACTGCGGCACAGGCTGCGGATGGACTGAACGAGAGACTTTCATCTTCTCTGGAGGTCTATTCGGTGCTTTACCATTATGCCGTGCATCTACAGAAAGAAGATTATCAAAACTAAATTATGTTTTAGCGATAACAAAACTTCCTTTTCCAATTTCCATTCCTGGGGAAGAAATATAGCATTTTTTTTTTTTTTTTTGAGTAAGATGTTATATCATTATAATATTCAAATATATTTTGGTTTGTTGATAAAAAAAAAACTTCAATGGTATATAGTACAGCAGTAAGGCTAAATTTTCTCCCTTAACCCTTATCATGTCGTAGGCGCAATAGTGCGACACATTCAAGTATACGTGGATTTCGCCCTCTATAGGCCTACTGTCTATATATCATTCTGATGCTCATTTGTTTTTGCATCCGGGTTACTTACACTTTGAACTTCTCAACAAAAACAAAAAACTTCTATTGAAAAATATTTTATAAATCAAACAAAAATGTCAACTTATTTTTGAAAGTTTCAGTATGGCCGCGCAGCAGTGATATACTGTGGAACGAGACATACACAATGTTTTTGATGATAATAGTGTGGATAGAGACCAGGAACATTTTTGTGGAATTATAATGGTGTTTCTGTAGGCTAGTGAAAGTGATGAGAGTGATGGTTATGATGGGGAAGAAGCTAATATTGCCGGTGGTGCAGTGGGGACGAGGTAGAACTAGGGTCTAGCCTAGGCCTAGACGAAGTTAGGCCTAGCCTATACAAAGAAATAGGCCAAATTGGATGGCGGAAACGGAACATTTCTCCGATTGTAAAACAATTTTTTTTTACAAACCAGTATCACATATAAATATATGTGCTATGAAGATTATTTTTTTATAAATAGTTTTTTTGGTTAGAGTTCAAGAAATATGTAAAAATTCCATTTAAAGAGAGATACTAATTTCTGCTGTGTAATTATGTAGTTTTGTAAAAGTAATTTGGCATGCTAGAATGTCACGCACCAGCGATTTTCAGCATGACAAGGGTTAAGCATAAATCAGAGGTTTAAAGATTGCTCCCCTTCGCAAGTCAGGATATTGAAAACGATCTGTTGCTCTTCATCTAAGCAATTACAGTCATTTCAATTAGCCAATCAAATGTTCAATTTTTCTTTACGCAAGATATTTCAGAATCACAAATCTTAAAATATCCTTTAATGATCACCTTTGCCCATGGACACAAAAGCAATAATGAAAAAAAAATTAACCACCTCTATTCCCAGAGGCCTATCAATTCAACAGAGGAACATTCATTACCCACAAAGAACTCATTTGGCAGGCATATGGTGGCTGATGAGAGCTAAATCTAGATTAAGTGCCTTAAGTCAGAATCAAATGTACCTAGCAGGGAATAATTCAAGATATATTTCACAAGACAAATACAAACTTGTCATTTACAAATCAACTACACTACCTTAGAATATTAAAGTGCAAAATGGGGAATTACAGTGTCAGTGATAATCTGTGAATTTGAAATTTCTTCAAATAAACTGAAAATAATATGTATCCAAGTTTTATGGAAGATGGAACTGCATGAGTATACATGAGCTACTCTACATCTGTTATGTTAGAAATTTCTTTCTTTTTAATTTGTTAGAGGTTTTTATCTCTGTTGTTTGTAGATAGATCTTTTTTTTTTAAATTGTGTATCCTAGTAGGCAAGACTTTTTTAAACCTTGCTCTTTTGTGAACTTATTTTTTTTAAATTGTCACAGGAGGGTGGAAAACAAAATAAAAGTAAAATTTGTTTTTTTTATTTAGCATATAGTTTTGCCAAAAACATCCAGACAGAGGAGAAAATAATAAATTTTATATGTGAATGTAAACAGTGTAGTAATGGGATCGTTAAATGCTTTAAATTTACATAATTAGGAAGAAATATACTGTACATATCATATTTTGAAGGCAGCAGCAGGTGTAATAAAAATAAAGATAAAATTTTTTCTTTTTTTTTCACTGCGGTGGATGCGCTAATTGTCCAAAAATAAAATTTTATTTTTATTTCAAATCATCATTATTAGCAGCCGGTGGGTTCACTAAACAAGGTATAAAAACTTTCACCTTAACTATAAAAAACAATGTTGCATAGCACAAGAATATTAAAATCATTGGCCAACTAAAAAATATGAATTTATTAATTCAATATTTTATTAATATTAATTCAATGACTCATACTTCAGTGGATACTAATTGTCTATTAACTAATTGATTTAATAATGAAAAGCTAAAAAAAATTGAAAATAAACATTAAAATCCAAGACACGGCTTACTGAATGACTAATTAAACATAATTTTACAGTGACTATAGTACTAACCACCAAAATAATAAAACCACAAATGTATGTTACATACATTTCCTTAAGTAGCTCTCCTTTTAGACTAAAGAGTATTGATCAAAATGGCTATAAAATACTATATATTTACAATAACAAGGAAATTATACTAATGAATACAATAATAAAATATATTCAACTATTATAAATAACATGAAAATTATACTAATGTAATGCAACAATAAAATACATTAAATTATTATTACAAAATATGTCAGCATGAAAAATGCCTTAACTATGATAGACAAAAATTGTTCATACAGAATAAATTTAAATTTAAAAAATATAAATTGACCCAGGGTACATACAGCAGTCTCAATATAATGAGTGACAATTGCTATGTACACAGTGGGCCAAATGAATTTGTTGCAATATTATTACCAGTCCAGAAAATTACAGACATATATTATTGGGTACCTGGTAAAATTTCAATGACATTGACAACATGCAGATCACAGATGCTCTGCATCATAATGGATGCTCACACAGGGCTTAGTATGTGTGCTCCATAGGCAATTGTTGCAATGACCGGGTTAATAATGTAAAGTGAGGCCTGTGCAAATGTGGTATTGATGATTATCAAATTATTATTATTATAGCGTACTGAAGTCTGCCATAAGAGGTAAGCCCCAATGGCCTTTGCATGGTAATAAAAGCTGTTTAAAAGTACATTACGGTAGGATATATTAGTACCCGCACATGAGCAATGTTTTGTTTTTATTCCCTTTGCATTCAACAGCAAGATATAAATTGGCCAATTATAGAATGGAAACTATGGGATGGCCTTTTTTTTTCAATAAAAATGTTTTTAATAGCTTGCAACTTGCTGTATGCAATGCCAAAAAACAAAATTCAGTCAAATTCACATAGTCTAAATCATGTTTGGATTGAGCGTCTTTTGGCAAAAAATATTGATTTAATGTACTGCATTTTACTTTTAAAAATTTAATTGTCAGCAAATATTTTTCCATTTTAATGTTTAACTGAAAGCTAATAACTTACTTAAATATACAAGGTAAAGAAAGGAATTTTTAAAAATGGATAAAAGTTTAAATTGTATTATTGTTAAATGTTCAAAAGATTTGTCTTTCCTTAATATAACTGGTTGACTCTACTTAAAAGCATTTTTTTTCTGGAATTGAAAAAATGTCTTTTTTTTCCATCATTATCTATTTGTTGATCTACAGACTGTCCACCAAATGCAATTAAAAAATACAAGAATCCAGGAAAGTCATAATTTACTTACTGGCTGAACATCATCGTTGAAAGTTTTTAATTAGAATCTCATGAATGTTTAAAGGTCAAAATTATTAATGATCTATAGTCACAAAGGATTCAATGCAAGTAACAAATAAAAATGTATCCATGGAACAAAATGATGCAGTTAAACAGACTTGTTATGCATGGGCTGCCTTGTCATATCACTATAGTGACATCACAATCTTGACGTATAATTATGCGTCCATAGTCTTAATTGAACTTATGGAACAGGAATAAATCCAAATGCTTTTTTTTTTTTAAAGTATGACAGCCAACCAAAAGTTACAAAATTGATTTTAAGAAGACATGGATGGATGAATTATTTAAAAGCGAACCAACTAAAAGAATGAAACCACCTTTTGAACAAATCTGACATCTGAAGTCATTAGTTGTAATAACCATATTACCGGTTGAATACTGTAGTGACACTTTATCGCTGATCACCATCATATTCTCGTAACTGAGGAAATCACCCATGCAAAAGGAATGAGACATTATGAGGTAGTAGTGGATATGAAGTATGTGGTTTTATAAAGAAAGTGTCAACACCTGACAGAGAAATCTAAAACTAGTGTTTAGTGGGCAAAAATTCTTTGTTTTTTTTAAATCTAAATTGCAGACCCTACTGAGCATATTTATATCTTCTTATATACTTTAGATATAGTAGTTATGTAAAAGTGTTTGACTTGTAGTACATATTACTACACATTTTACAGAATTTACTCAGACAACAAACTCCTTTTTACAACTTTCGATTTTCGAAAGGATCCTTTCTTGTTAGTTTCTGACAATCGAAGTACACAACTACTCTAAAGCAGGGGCTTAACCTAAAAGCTGCAATAACACCTGTTCCAAGAGTGTCTAACTATGTCAAGAGCAAGTAGATTCTCGAAACATTGCCAAGGTAAGCATCTAGGTTATAGCACTCCTGCATTAACAGCTCAGATTTATGTACTTACTGTACATCTTTCATGTGACCAACTAGCAACCTGCTTCATGGTAAATCCAAGCCTAGTGATGTCACAGCACATTAAACCACCTGATGATCAATTAAGACCTTAGTCATGTGACTGAACGTATGTATAGCTTTGTAACATTGTTAATTGACCAAAATTAAACCACCTGATGATCAATATGTTCCAAATATACACCTTAAGTCAATTTGTCTGACTAATAACCACCTGAAGATCAATATTGTGAAAGCTAAGTGCATAGTGATGTGACTAACCAAAATTAAACCACCTGATGATCAATGATGTTCTGAATTTAAACCTTAAGCCATTTGTCTGACTAATAACCACCTGAAGATCAATATTATGAAAGTTAAGTGTATAGTGATGTGACTAACCAAAATTAAAACACCTGATTGATGATCAATGATGTTCTGATATACCTTAAGCTATTTGTCTGACCAATAACCACCTGATGATCAATATTATGAACCTATGGTAATGTGACTGTCAATAACCTTCTGATGATTAATATAGTGTAAACAGAACAAGAGTGCGTAATCTTGTTTGTAGATACGTCACTCCCTAGTGTAGGATGCCTGCTGTCATTTGTATGCACTTTAATACCCAGTACTGCACCGCATACAGTTTGCGTATCTGTTTTCCACATACTTCCGTAGAGGGCAATAATAATAATAATAATAATAGTGTAGTTTGAAAATGTGGACTAGGAACCCGACCAATGACTTTTTTCGCACCTAAGTAAGGGTCCCTTCGTGTCTGTGCTACCCAGAGCAACTCTCATCGTCCACCATAGGGGCTGTCTGTTCCAGTACACCGGGGTAACCCCCTACTCGTCTCGAAGGATGTACTGGGTTCTTAATAGTGCACACGAGCCATTGTATACACTGGGCCTACGGTTTACAGTCCAATAGATTTCCTATTTTTTTTCTATCATCATACTGTCTTGCGCAGTGCAATATTGGGCAATATAAGTACACTTGAAGAGACAATCCCCTACTCTTTTCCGGTGCGCTATCATAACTTGCACTTCAGCCATCCAGCTGAAATACAAGGAAGATGGACCAAGAGATCTTCACGATTCAGCGCACACACAGTGCCTACATCCAGTATATCAGACTGAGCAAACTCATTATGCAGCCATTAATTTTTTCTATATTTCAATGCATTTTGACAGTTACAATTTGTCACAAAAGAATGGGAAACTGTGTAAGCCAACTGCTGAAGTGGCTCAAATGAGTGCGTTGATTTTTCCTGACATGTCATAGTAACCAACAAGCCATAGTAATGCCAACTACCTTAACTTCCTGTACTAATACATCAACAGGTTGTTTTCATAATTTACAAATTTATCGTACCGTAGTTCCTCATGCATAAGCCTACTTTGTGCATAAGCCCACCCCTACTTTACACCCAGTTTTCCACATAGAGTTTTCCTGGGTATAAGCCCAGGGTAAGGTTTATAGCTCAGCACACTTTTGTAAATACTTTCAGAAATATTAGCGATTCAAAGTTACAGTATATGAATTTGCAGGCATGAGACTTTGATTCTGAAAACTCGCACACATTTGGGGAAGAAGGTCCGGGAACCTCCTAGCAGAGTCTGAGGAAGTCTCCCTGGGAATAGTTTCCTACATGTCCAGAAATGCATTCTTTGCCATTTTTTTTTTAGGGTAGGTAGGATTTTTACAAATAAATATCTGTTGTGAATAAAGTAAGCAAGTCTGCTGATGATCATGAAGAGTATAATGATAACAATAATAAAAAATTCCATTACTGATATAGACACATAAAACTACTTACTATTGCTCTATTCAGTTATGTTTTTTTTTTAGCCTAACAATATTTATTAAACTAATCAATTAGAGAGTATAGCTGTGGTTAAACAACAATCCTCACCCAATACATTAGGCAAGCTGCCAGTAGCCAGTATGTTAACTCAACACCTAGTGCATATAAACCAACAAGAGCTGAAACGTTGTCCATCATGTTAAACCAGCACATTAAATTGATCTGCTAAACAGCGTAGCAGGAGTATCATATATCAGAGATGATCAACCCTCAACAATAATATCAAATGTATTGATTTAAGTGGCAAAAGCATCCAACAACTCTAGAACCGCAATCAATTTTGTTAACAGATAATTCTCCACAGCTACTTGCAAAAGGCATCAATTCCAGCAGTAGCTAAACAGATTTACGTGAATATCATTTCTTGTTTTTTCTCACTAATGAACTATAGAGGGGGTAGTTTAGACTTGTGAGCAAAACATCTTGACTAATTTAGTTCAGGTTCTGATGTAAGAAGGAAAATTTTTCAACTGAAAATGATATTTTTCTTTAGCAAAAAAGATGATGATGATGATGACGATGATGATGATATGATGAAATAATGATGATATGATGATATAATGATGGTGGTGGTAGTGATGATGATGACGATGATATTGATGATGATTATGAAAACAGTAATGATGATGATGATGATTATCTAACTCAAATCAAAACATTCTAATTCATTACATCAAAGTATTTAATGTTGTTATCCCAAGAGAAAATATGATTTAAATGTGAATTACAAATGTAATTTATTATCAGTTGTAAAAAAATAGTTACATTTATAATATCAATCTATCGGATATAGAAAAAAAAAAACCCCTGGGAAAATCCCTGGATTACTCATACTGTAATTACATACTAATGCTCAAAGACTGATATAGAGTAATAGTTAACACAATAGTTTACATGGCAACACCAATGATTTAGGAAGTTGTCTACGAGTTTTGGTAGCTACTGTATCCTTACCAACTATCGATTGTGCAACTATATCCTTATTGCTTATAGTTTAAGGATTAACTGATAATCTTATCTGAATAACAAATGTAGGAAAATCATCAACAATTTTAATTGCTACATTACCAAAATTAGATTTTTGTGAAAATAAATCCTTACATTTTCTGCTTTGAAAATAATATCCACACAAAACATATTAGAACTATTATATTTATGTGTTAATGGGCAATAAATATACAGTTGAACTTTCGTAAGTCAAATCCAAAATGGCATTGAAAAATTGTTCAACTTGGATAAAATTCAACTTGCATATCTTTAATTAATGGAAAAAAAACAATTTGACATGTAAAATAATATGGACTTATTATTATTTGAGTGGGCGAAGTCAACTTATGCAAGCTTAACTGTATTCATAAAGCTAATAACTTACAAAAGTACATAATTTTAGATGCAAATAGCCTAAAACCTTTGGCCAAACCACCTTACTGTCAGTGGTAGCACCAGCGGGGGCATGGAGGGCATTTGCCTCCCGTCAGACAGGCCTGGACCCACTGTCGTCAGACGAACAAACTGGTTGTCGGACCAAAAATTTAGAAAAATAATTTAGCTATGAAAATAACATTATTTTGATTGCCAATCCCTAATATTGCGGTCTAAAAGCATGTTTAGGACCAAACCCATAAAAAACTCTCGCCATGAATCCTAACAGGGATTTTTTTTATTCCAGGCCGTCGACCGGGGCTTCATTGTCGCTTGTCGGCAAATTTCTGGCACTACCGCTGCTTACTGTGTGAGAAGAACCACCTACGATAATCCAAATCAACCCCTCCAATTGCTAAAAAAAAACTATCATCAGATTAAATTCATTATATGCTGGAGCACTTCAGAACAAGGGGGCTTAGCCCTTGACTCCCCAAAAGAGTTCTTGCCCTAGACCAAAACATGCCACCTAGGCTTTCCATGGATTCTGGTTTTCCTCAAATACCCTTATGAATTTCAGGGTCAGCATCATTATTTTTCTGCGGTACATGGATTATTTTTCCATCCAATAGAAAGTATTAGATAATTTTGGAATCAGCATATCTTATGGATGCCAGTCTAGCGTATACCGCATTATCTGATCCCAGCACTTTTTTAATGTATAAATGTTTATTTATGGTTAGCATTGTTTTAAATTTGTGGTTTTTTCAAAACACAATTTTGTGAAAATTGTTTTTCGAAAAAACAAACTAAAAACAAAACTATGAAAATAAATTACTTACCTATATGATTTTTGAGGCCCTGTGGCTTGACCACCTGACCACACTGTTCACACACCACCAGGTAGAACTGATCTTGCGTTGGACATATTCCAAATAGTGCAAAATCTGAGAAAAAGCACTTAAGGACAAATAATGATTGATCGTTTAAAATAATAGAATAAATTAAAGTACAACAGTCTATATTCCAAACTATCAGAGAATAACATTTTAAGGAAGATACCTGAAAGCAAAAAACAAAAACTAGTTGAACTTGCCTAAATCGAATCCAAAATGGCATTGAAAAATTGTTCGACTAAGATAAAATTTGACTTACAGATCTTCAGTTAATGGAAAACACAACAATTTGACATGTAAAATAACATCGACTCAAAAACTTAGGCAAAGTCGAATTAGGCAATCTCAACTGTATGTAAATAGGTATCAACATAAAATATCTAATTAAAACATTAATTGCTTTGTTGAAAACTAGTTACTAAGACAAGATTTTTTATAACTTCTCTGCAAACTGCTGCCTGCCAATAATGATTTTGAATAAAAATAAGTTATACAAGTTATTTTTGGCCCGTTAATGTAATCACTACGGCGACAAAAATAAGAAAACTTAATTTCTTCCTCAAATATATAAATATTAGACAAGTATCAATCTGACTACTGTACTGTTTACATCTCAACATCACATTCTTTACAACTGCGCAAAAGAATCTTAAGCCTAAAAGGCACCCTCCATTACTGAATTACCTCATACTAACACCTACTCATTCGGCAATACAATTTCATTTGTATTTCTTTCACTGCCTAGATCCTCAAGGCAAAATTATTTGGCTAATTGTCTGCACAAGCAGATCGGGTTCAACACTAGTCACTAAGCGCAAGCTCGACAGTCTAGTGGTTATGACACCAGGTTAGTTATCTGAAGGTCGTGGGTTCGTTTTCCACCGTAATTATTTAGTAATGTACTGAGTATTCGGTACTGTAACACGTCAGGTAGGGCAAAACATCACTCCTTATGAAACTATATTGATGATTGAAAAAATTATTTTTCTTTGAAATTTTTCCACTAGAAAGGGTTTAAAAAAAGTATTGCCTATAATATTAAAAAGTACCACAGTATTGAATTTTAATGTTTCGGTTAATACCTCAACAGACGGGAAATTTTCATACAATCATCTAATCACTCCCTTAGGGAATTGACCAATCATCATTTTATATGTTGTCATGTGAAATTTTATGATTAATGATTTTTTTTGTAAATGATATAGACTTTTATAAAATTCATTATTATTGTGTATCATTTTTTTCTGACACATCGTTAATATATTAATTCAATTAGAAGATGTCGTCAGATGCAGTGACGATACAGGCACCCCTGGGTGGACTAGGTGACAGTCAATTTCCTTTTCTTCAAAATAATGCATCTGAAATCAATCAGAAATTTTACAGTTTCAATTCAAATTAAATTTTTCTGATACTTTATTAAACCTTGTTTTGCAAACCTGCTGATAATTTAAAATAAGAATAAAATTTCATTTTTGCTTGTTAATGCATCAGTCACTGTAAAAAATTAGAAATTTCATAAAATACAAAATTTTGCAAGATTTACATTTGCAAATTGTCTGCATTTGGATATGATACAAAATCTTTTAAATTATTATTATCTATTATTATTTGTAAACACATCCGGGGATAAAAATGGGTTGGAGGGCCAAGCTGACACTAAGGACAGCAAATTTGATGATTCCCATACGCTTGTAAAAACCTTATACACCGAAAACCGCTTTACGTTCAGATTTTAATGTTACTTTTTATGGATGTTTGGCATTTGGCAAGGGTAACAAGGAGTTTTCTAGCCAAAAGATGGTAGGTAGGTAGGTAACACATATAATTTTCACAGGCAGCAACAAGATTCCACCATGCTGCATGTGGCCTGTGGGCCACACTTTGACCACCTGTTCCTTAGGTCATCTGATTTTTATTTACTTAGGCCACACTTTGCCCACCTGTAAATTAGGTCATCTGATTTTTATTTACTTTCAGTTACTCGCACTAACACTAAAACTATGGGATATAGATCATTCTTTTTCTTTGGAATGCACTACTAATTCTCATTAAACAATCGACTTCAAATTGCTTTATTTAAAAAATCACTATGGCCTTTAGATATCGCTTTAAAAATTGCTACAATATTATTAGGAGTGATTCTTTGCCCTACCTGACATGCTATAGTACTAAAATACTTAGTACATTCCCAAATACTTTCCCAAAAAATCTCGCAAGTGATTCTGGTGAGAATCGAACCCATGACCTCTAGATTATTAGCCTGGTGTCATAACTGCTAGACCAACGAGCACTTGTAGGGCAAAACATCACTCCTATGTAATTTCCTGATGCAAAAACATCAAAATAATAATATTACTAAAAAAAAAGCTGCAGGGTAAAAAGCTAATCAAAGAAAGGTAGACGACAGCAAGACAACACACATTAAGGAGCTAACAAAGTGAAGGCAGGCTAACAAAAAGACAAGCTAAAGAGGTACTTAAAATACAGATAGGTTAATGCATCACTTATAAAAAGTCTTCTCATAAGATAAGAAAATGATGTTGCAACCAGTAAGAAATACAAGTGTAAACAAATTTTTGAGAGACATATCCTTCCAGGATCTGTAACGTTTGCCAAATGCTACTAATTATGAAACTGTATAGCTAAAAAAGGCAATCCTATATAGAAATAATCTAGGAAAATTTTTTTATTAAAGATGTATTGTTCCTTGAAAATGACAAAAAATCATAAAAATATTTTTCAAATTAACTGGTTAATTTTGCAGTAACATACAAATTATACACTTGAGCATAGAAACTACTGAAGTTAAAACTGTGTACCCTGATTTTTAAGCTGGAAAATTATAAAAATAATATAACACTTCCAGTGACTGGAAGTGTATCTACTGTATAATTTTTTGCTGTAAAATTATGAATATAAACAATTTTAAATACACTAATTTCTATGTTCAAGTTGATAATATTAATATTACTTCAAAATGGGCAAGTTTATTTCAAAAATGATTTGTTATGACTTTTTTGGTATTTTGTATGAGACAATACATTTTACTTTAGTAATAAAATTAATATTTTATATTCAGGAATCAGTACTGGCTCCAGAGTATTCATAATAGGAGTGTATGGCGTAGCGTGTAAGGTGTTGGACTTCTGATTGTGAAATCGGGGGTTCGAGACCGACGCTTGTCGCATTGCTTGTGTCCTTAGGCAAGGCACTATACTTACGTTTGCCTCTCTCCACCCAGGAGTAAAAATGGGTACCTGGTAGGATGGTATGACACTGAATGAATGGGTCGTGCACGTACAAGCAGCAGTGACCAGGGATACTCCCCAGGGACCAGAGAAAGTTGCAGCCAACTCAGTATCCCACAATCAGGGAAATATGTTGTCAGTGCCTTGTATAATTGCCTTGTTTAATCTACGGATTGTGATAGGCGCAATTAATGTATATTTAAGTATTTTTTAAACAAAAATAAAAAATAAATAAATAAAAAGAAAATTTATATAAAAAATGAATAAAATGAAAAGGCCATTTCTTTTTGCAACTGAAAATGGCGCCGTGAGCAGCTCTCCGAGATGGATACGTGCGCCTTACAAGATGCCATATTATTATTATTATTATTATTATAATTATTATTATTATTATTATTATATAAATTCAGGTTCTAAAAAAAAATAAATAAATAATTAAAATATTCATTCAGGGGAAGGGCAAAGCTGTCCAAAACGAATCATAATTTCTGGCGGAGGCCTATGGGGTCTATTTAATAATTTCACATGTAAATTAAGTACAGTAAAATATTCTAAAGTTTTCTTAGATGCCATTGGTCCAAATGAATACACCAAATGGAAAACCACCCTCTCATTGGTCACTCCTTCTTTGTTGTAATAACAGGAACTCATGTACAATTTAGGTAATCTTTAAGCTAATGTTTCTTAGGAAAGGAAGAGAAATTATTAAAAATGTTAATAAGCAGTTATTTGTTGGCCTCATTCTTGGAAGATTCAAACACCCTGTAATTCAAAAGTATAAATAGACTGATTAATTAAATATGATATGATATGCATTTAGATTGCCCCAGGCTCTCACATTTCCATAGTGGACTTAACTTGATATTACTTATTAATTTTCTTTTATGTTTCACAATATGCTCATCTAAAATGTTGCACAAATAGACAGCATGCTCAAGGTTTAGTTGCAAAACACCCAAATCAGTTGGATGTGCAAGCCATCATATATGTGAGCCTAACTGTGCTTTAAGGACTGGAACTCGAAGATGGGAACAATAACTACAAATTTAAATTAATTACCTTACATGATGCTCTGGCAAAAAACTAGGAGCGTTGACTACTGTTACAATTTTAAGGCTCTATTTTTAAAGCAAAATTTACAATTATAAGCTAATAGACGACACAAGGCCATCTGCTATTGTCGGTTATATTCTGAATGGATCGTCATTAAAAACGATGGCACTGTGCTCTCCATAAAATCATGTCGGCCGCTGGATGCAGTGAGTGCATTGCTTTATTGTAAAACTTTTAGCTAAATTTCGACTAAAAAGAATTGTGATTGCCAGCTGGCAAATGTTGAAAATATATCTCTATTACCCAGAAGACAGCTGGAGTATTGAATATTTAAATTCACTTTTTTGTTTTGCTTAACATCAGTATTTTGTGCTCCCATTCATTACCCATTTTATATTACATTTATTTTAACTATTACTTTATAGAAGGGAATTTATCCAGCTAAACCAGAATGTAAGCTGATATTCAAGTGAACATTGCAAATTTTACTCCCAGCTTTAAATGCTAATTAATTTTTTTACTTCCATGGATTATGCGATAATGCTAAAAAATTACACTTTAAACAGGTTAGGCAAGCCTTATTATACTAAATTCTACTTTCTTATGTTGTGGTTCAAACAAATATATGTTGCCGATAGAAAAATTAAAAACAATTGGAATGACAAATTAAAAAAAATATCTGTGAGGAACTCCGTGGCCTATCTAGAAGTCTTAAAGGGGGCTGACAGGGTTAAGGTAAAAGTTCGATGGTTAAGAGAGGGGGAACTATCTTGCAATATAAGGGGATATGAGGTGATTTTAAACTACTTGAGCATAATTTTGCTTTGAATATTACCAGTGGGGTGCAAGCTTTCTTTGGGGCATTCACCCCCTAGAAAATATTAACAATAATTAATAATAAATAATACAGGAATTTATATACCATTTGGAACACTGGGGAAATAGTAATGTCCAACAGAAAAGAAGTACTGTAAAAAAAAACACAGAATAAATGTAAAGAGGAAAATAAAGACAACAAAACATCAAAAATAACAAGAAAAAAATTAGATGGATGAGAAGAGATGAGTTTCATGACTAGCAAGGAAATTGATTCTTTGGAAGCAGGAAAGCTCCAGAGGTTTGAAGCAACAACCATAAAGGAGTGCTCACCATAACATTTAAGCTAGCAAATTTAAGTCAGTGACAACCAGATTGGGAGCATAATTGATGGTCTGAAATATAGGAAGGGGGC